GCCCGCCTTTGAGGAGCGCTGGGCCCTCGAGGGGGCGCTGTGCCGAGTCGAGGCGGGACGCCTGGTCCTCGTACTGTGAGACCACCAGCTGCTCAAGCTGCAGGGACGCCTCAAGCGGGCCGAGGCCTTGGACTTTGGTTCATGCGGGGCGACCCCTGAGGCCTCATTGGTGTCCCCCGCTGGCAGAACTGTAAAAAAGTCAATATAGTCCGAATATTCGTTGTGGGTTTTTTTGTGTGTGTGTGTGTGTGTGTGTTGTTTTGTTAGTTTAGAGTGTACGGGCAGGCCTTGCAGGCCATGAGCCCAGGCCTTGTCCATGAGGCCCAGATCTTCGGGCGTACCTGTACATGGTCTTTACTGGCTCCGAGTGATCACCCATCTGGGAATAAATGTCTCTTAAAAGTCAAAAGTCTTTCTCTCCTTTATTATTCTTATGTTCCTGTTACTTTTTGCTACATAAAATTTCCAATTCCTTTATGAAAGCTACTTTAAGAAGAATTTATCTATCACAGTGTTACTATAAAATCTTATTAGATTGATTGAATGCTTTGGTTAAAAATAAAAATTTAGTTTCTGAGGCCTGAGGTTAGTAGAGTTGCTTGACTACATAATAAGTAAAAAGACAAACACAATTTGCAGTTTGGTGAGATTAGTATGAATCCCTTTGAAAAGAAAGATATTTATAATTACAATTTACTACTGCATCTACATACTACAATAAAACTCAGTGACCATAGTATTTTTTATTGGGACTTCACTGTAGTGGTAATGGCAATATTGATAAGTCACTGTTGCCAATATAAAGGTATTTTGGTTGTCTTCACAGATCAAAATCTTAATATATTCTTAAGACTTGAAATGGGTATAATAAAATTCCAGTTAGAAAGACAACATAAAAAAATTAAACAAGATTAATGTTAGGTTGCACAGGTGTCAATTTAAACAGAATGCACTGATTTAAAATGTTTGGATTATTCTTCCATTCCAAATCACTCAAATGAAAATAAAATTGGCATATTATTATTCTAGTTTTGATATTTTGAAAAAAAAAGAGATTAAAATGGTAAAATCCTACTTAAGTAGGGCCAGGATATCACCTTCTATCATAAATATTTGTAATGCATACGTTAGGAAGATTTTTACAGCTATTTTTAATTTGTATGTAATAAGTCATACCAGCTTTGGGGCCATGAGGGTCAGTATATGTACTTTTGATAGTTATAACTTAGTATTTAATTTAGTCTGTATATCTGTCATGTAAACACTGTATCATCAGCAGCATTTAATGATACTGAAAAAGATAAAGCATTTTTATGGGTAAGGAATTTCACCTTAATCATATCTAGCATACCAAACATATCTACTTATTTACATGAAGGACTCTAATGGCTCCCCAGCTTGATGATTCTATTAGGAAAAATGAGAATAAAAACTGTTAAAATAAGGTTACATACAAAACAATATTATAAGTAACTATATTTTCATAACACAAAGAAAGAAAGAAAATTTTTGAGTTATTAAGCTCTGTGTTGCCACTCCCAATCACATCTTTTAGAAGCAGAATAACTAAACTAACTTCATCCTTAGCTGGTCTGCAAGACTTCTGCTTAGGGTCCTAAGAAAAGTAAGTACTGTGTTCATACATACACTGACACAAGAGAAGGGATAACAAACATTTGCACTCTTTTTTTTTTTGTTTTTTTGCATTTTTCTTTGCTTGTCACAAATCGCACTGTTACTTAAATGTAGAATCATTACATGTTGATTATAATAATAAAAATAGGGTGGATAGTAAAGTTATTGCCCAGATTATAACAATTTTGAATTACACCCATGTCAGTTGTAGAAAACAGTTATGTCCATGTACTTACTGGAGACGTATGCACTTGATTTATTCTTAACTGATTCTCCAAATCTTGTACCTTATTTTTCAATTCTGTGTTTTCTGTTTCTAGCTCTTGAATCTAGAAAATAAACAATTATTGTAATAGCTAGTGAAGGATTTATCCTCTGACAGCCAATCTAAACTACAAAATATGAGTAAGAGATTTATATATTTCAGTTAAATAAATGACCAAAAAGTTGATTATGGTGTTTAAAAATTGATCTAAAAGCCTTAGTTTATTTTTTAATATAACACACATTTTAAGTACTTATGTGGTTACAGGATGACACACTGTTTCTTCACAGGATCTCAGTTTTAGTTTCTTAATAATACTCTTTGGTGTAGTATTACAATATATGCTTTTATTCAAAGAGAGAGAGAGAGAGAGAGAGAGAGAGAGAGAGAATAACTTACTCTTTTCTGTAACCCTGCAATCTGTTTTCTTGTTTCGACATCTTTTCCACCAGATTCCAGAAATTTCCTGTAAGCCAGGTCAAATGCTTGACCAATTGTTAAAGTTATTTCTTCAGCCTTTAGACAGAATAAAATATTAAATTATCACATTAAGAATATTCTATATAACGTCTTTCATTTTACAGGGTCACAAAGCATTCTACATATTGTATAGTGGACACAGGGATTACTTCACCCACCATTCAAATAAAGTCAACTCTGAAAAGAAGCATGGCAGCCATTTTGCAGGAGAAAACATATGTAATATTTCCTAGGAAGGTGACTGAAGAATAATTTATGCAAGTATATAGGGGAGACTAGAGTAGGCAGAATGTAATTACCAAGTTTCCAATGTAAATCATACTACTTTTAAGATTTTAAGCAGCATGTATGGATGTGTCATGCTGCATTTTTATAACATTTTAGTCCTCAAGTGACTGTTGGCTAGTTCTTTCTCTAATTAAATGAATAATTTTAACATTATGGAACGATCAGTTATTTTTAATCACTTATGCAATTAGGTTTCATAAGTCTTTTCATATAAAATAATTTAGGCCCTCAGTTGGCATATAACAGAAAGTATGCCTTCATAACAGCATGCCTATGCCTAAATACTGTTCGTCACAAATGTCAGATCATAAAAATCAGCGTATGTATTTTTATATAGGCAAATAAAGTGATACTTTAGTTTTTCTTACAAGTTTGAGAACTAAATACACAATTTTATTTCCATCCTAATTAAAAATAGTTTTACTTAGGATAACTATTGTCAAATAAATCATCCAATGCAATATATTCTTTTAATATTTAAAGCTGTGATTCTCAACCGGGTTCTTTTAAAGGTGATATGCGGGGGTTGTATAATATTAACACTGTTAGGTGTGGAAACACCTACACATGATTCTCAAGATAAATTCATGGTGAACAAAACATTCTGACCTGTTACGGTCTTATCTGAGTTCTTTTCAATGGAAGAGAGAGTTCTTGCTGTTTATTTTTTGGTGGTCAAGAAACAAGTGAAAGCTAAGAGCTGGCATTTTTCAAGAGATGACATGAGTCTAATGATAAGTGCTTTGTGTCTAAACAGGTTGAGAACCACTGAGCTAAAGCTTCAGGAAATGTGGTGAATTATACTGGTCACTAGGGTTGTGCGAAACTTCAGTAGCTGATTTGATTCAGAGGAGATTCGGCTTGATTCGGTGGACAGATCTCTGAATCTGAATTGAATCAGGAGACCCATTAAAGGGTCCAAATTGAATCTGAAGCCTCTGAATCAATTTGGAAAAGATTCGGAGAGATTCAGGGATTCAGATCGGCTGGGGAGAGGCAGGAACAGCTGGGTGACTGCAGGTTCTCCCATGGCTCCTCCCACTGTGGCTCCCTCTCCTCGGGCAGGGGGAGCCACAGGAGAAGCTCCCATGGCTGTCCTGCCTGGCCCCAGCCCCTGCCCAGCCCCAGCCTCTTGGCACTTAAAAATAGAAAAAAAATCCAGCCCTGCACTGCACGGGGGGCAAGGAGGTTGGCTCTGCTGTGAGCCCTCAGAGGCTCTGTTCAACACTGTCAGAGCCAGTGAGTTTTTGTTTGTTTGTTTGTTTGTTATTACTGGGATGCTGGGGCTGGGTGGGGCAGCCATCAGGGCAGGGCTTGGCAGGGGGTGTGATTGGGGAGCAGGGGTTCTGTGGAGGGGCTCTGCCAGGAGTCCCCAGAGCCCCCAAAGCACCTGAGGACTTGAGGCAGAGACCCCCTGTGCAGTGTGGGGCAGTAGGAGGCAGCAGGGATCACCCCCTGTTTGGCACCCATGTGGGAGTCCTCCAATGGCATGGTACAGCGCGGCTTGGCAGGGTGCCGCTCACTGTCTGAGAGCTGGGCCCACTGGGGCTGAGTGCTGCTGGGCTCCAGCTGACACATGGAGCTGCTGCAGCTCCCAGACAGCATGCAGCATCCTGCCGAGCTGCACTGCACCCGCACCATGGGGCAGCTGCCGTATAGGTGGTAAGTGGGAAGGATGATTTCCACTGCTCCCTGCTGCTCCACGCTGTGCGGGGGGGAGGGGGCTCTTCCACAAGTGCCTAGAGGCCCTGATCACCACTGCCAGATCCAGTGAGTGAGAGGCTTTTTTTTTTTTTTTTAATTGCCAGGAGGCTGGGGCCAAGCTGGGTAGCCACTGGGGTTCGGGCCGGGTGGGGCTGCATGGGGAGGCGGGGGGTCTGCCAGAAGACCCCAGAACCCCCTGCTGCAGCCAGTGAGTGCATGGTTTTTGGGTTTTTTTTGCCGGGATGCTGGGGCTGGGTGGGAGATGGGGCTGGGCAGGGAAGCCACAGGGATTTCTCCCGCAGCTCCCCCAACCCGGGAAGAGGCGGGCACAGCCAGAGGAGCCACAGGAGAACCTGCAGCTTCCCAGCTGTGCCTACCTCTCCCTAGCCCATCTAAATCTCTGAATCAACACTGAATCTCCAATTCAGATTCAGCCAAATTGAATAGGGACCGTGATTTGAATCATTGAATTGAATCACTGTCCTCCAAATTGGCTAAATCTGAATCCGAATTGAATACTTCCCTATTCGCACAGGTGTACTGGTCACTATTAAACAATCAGCATTTGCATATAAGTATTCCCCTTGTATTTGGTTTCTCAGTTCAGCAGCTGTACTACAAAAATGGTATAAAAATTAGTTAAGTTTGGCTCAAGCCAATCTGATTTTTTATTTTTCTTGATGACCTGAAAAACTGAATAATTTCACTTCATGATAAACAAAACACACACAATTAAATTCCCCCAAAGGTTTTGTTTTGGTCACTTAGAAGAAGAGCAAAGGAAGTTATGGGCTAGATTCATAGAACTGCTAGGGGAGGAAGTGATGCAAAAGCCTAGTGGTTAGGGCATTTACACAGGTGTTGGAAACCCAAATTTAGTTTCTCCTTTGCCTGGGAAGACATGAACACACACCTCCTACAACAGGTAGGTATGAGGCTATGTCTGTTGCAAAATATTGACTTTTAAAATAAAAATACTGTAAGGGATTATATCAATTCAGTGAGACCATTGGTTTTATTTACCATTGGAAACCAAACTGAAGAAAATCATCTATGGACCAAAAGTCAAGGCAAGGCTAAGATTTTAATTTTCAAAGTTGGGAGATACTTACCCTTTGATGACTTTTAGTTAAACCTAATGGTTGATATAGATTCAATCATTGTATTTGTTGCATGCTAATATAGCTAACATATCATTATTAAACAGCTGCACTGGATTGTTTTAAATGATAAACTGTGATTAGAGACTACACTGTTTTAGGAATGGGCATATTAGTCAGGAAGTGTGTTTGCAGATGAAGTAAAAGTGATAATTCTAGTGAGATTCTTCGGAAGCTGAAGGAACCAAGAGGCTGGAAAGTGGAACTAAATATGCTATTGGATCACAGAAGCAGATAGAAGTGTAAGAGGGAGATCTCTATTGACTGGGATTGGAATGATACCAGCATTAAGAGAGTCTAGTGGAGAGGAAACGCACCTGAGATCAGGAGGGGTTCTGTGCTTATTGCTGCCTAAAAAAAAAAGGAAGACAGAAAGAGAAAAAAGAGACAGACAAGATAGAAACAAGAAGAAGAGGAAAGTGAACAGACATATACACAGTGAATATACACAATGTTACTGGTATTGCCACTGTAGCATCGCAGTGGCATGACAAGATCCCCAAATATGCTAAATATGCAGTAAAACAAATGTTACATAAGTGCTATACAAAAATGCAATTCTTGTTTATAAAGTTTAGGAGCAATTTTACAGAGTCATCCTAAGTAAAACATATTTGTTCTATAGTTAAACGTTTCACTAAAAAATAAAATAGGTTCTAGACTCGGGAATATCAGCTGTCCCTTTTTACTTCACAAGGCTAGTTGCATTAGCTCCAATGCCCTGGTTAAATTCCTTTAGGTAATTATTTTCTGCCTATGTAATCTCCTCATTTTTCAACTGGATATGTTATTCTTCATTTCCTGTCCTAAACTATTGTTTAGTGTAGCTGTACAGCACTGAACAGCTGACATGTTCTACTCAGAAGTGGCAATGTTTCAGTGGCAGGTGAAGCGATTCCTCTGGTGATGTGTCAGGGCATCGGTGAGCCAGGAGAGGTGAGGGCATGAGCCAGGAGTAGGGCCATACAAAGATCCTACAAGGAACAGTCTAGAAGGTTACTTCAGGGCATGGACAAATGTAGACTTAGGTTCAAAAAGGGAGGAGGAGCTGTTGCTCCTAACCCTACAGCAGCTAATATACTGTAACACTTATATGTGCAGCAGCTTTTACGGCTATGAATATTGCAGAGGCACTCCAACTTTAACCCTGCTTTCTTGAGGGTTAAACCTGGGGCAATTTAGGTATCACTATAGGATGATGCGAAGTTTAAAGTTTAACAGTTGCCATGTGTTCCTGAGCCTCAGATGCTGCTTCCCATTTGAAATCACTCTAAGTAAATGTTTGTACATGCCCTCCTCAGTCACTGCTCCTTAGTAGCAGCTCTAGAAACATTTCACAGTCACAGATGGATTTTCTCTCCACCGTTCCAGTGTATCATCCTGATACTTGGCCCAGCTAGTCAGACTGGTTACTGGGGAGAAGATTTGCTACCAAGAAAAAAAATAGTCTTTAGTTTAAAAATAAAATATCCAACAAACATATATGTAATAACCACTAGTACAATGTTAAAGACCACATACAGACATGCAAAATTATATCAAACTGACCCCAGTCAAGAAACCTTCCATTTGACTGATTTCTCTTTTTCCTATTCCTTATTTCAAAACAGTGCAATCTCCTATGTATGATATCAAAATCCCCCTAAAATGTCTGGCATACTTACACACTTTTCACTGTCAAATACATAACACAAGTGCTTATTTGACTCAGAATCTTTGCATATGAAAGTAAATATCCTCTTGTCAGTTTTATCATCAGCACAAAATGATATCCGGTGGAGCTGGCAATTGTGCTGGACTTCCTGCAAACAGAAACAGAAGGATCATTTCTATAAGCAACTATGTAAACTTGGAATCAATTTGCAAATTGATGCAAGATGCACATTTTCTTACATACGTATAAAAGGGCAGAAGGATTACAGTGTCAGGGTTAAATTTGGTTCTTACAGCAGGGACTAGCTTACTATGTGGAGGTATGCATCTATCCCAACAGGACTCCAAAAATTCAATTAAATTCTTTATGTAGTAAAGAAACTAACAAAGTTTTTCCATTTAACAAATTATCCCAATTTTATTTAGTTTAAACAAGTCATTTAAAAATAAGTGTTTTTCTCTCCAGCCATTCTGGTTTTTTAATCTTGGTTCTGCTGTTGGTGCGAGCTTCTGAGCAAGCTTATACCCTGGTGTGATTTTGTGAGATTCTCAGCATCACCTTCCAAGCTGCTTAGGATTTTCAAATTTCATTGACCTTAACAAGAATTAAAGCATTTTTATTGAACATGCCTCAACCTCTCCTGGTTTCCCTATTTCTGAAGTGGAAAAACTAATACTCAACAACCACGCAGTCCAATCACATTGCAGGTAGGAGGGAGGTAGTTTAGATAATCACAAAAGGCATACATTCCATTTTAAAAATGCAATACAATGCTGATTTAGGAATTTTCAGTGCCCTTATTTGAACCTAAGACATAGTGAAATTGTTCTTCTATTAAAGTACAAAAAAGATATTATTATTCCTCAAAGTGGCAAGGATAATATTTTTAAGGAGCCTGGAAAAATTACAGAAATAAAGAAAATATTTGCAATTTTAGGGGGGGGGGGGTTTCTCAGCAAGCATCATATTGTATTTTATTTGGCTGGTTACATGGGAAAGCTGTACTCAACAAGGACAAGTGCAAAGTCCTGCACTAAGGAAGGAACAATCTTGTGTACCAGTACAGGCTGGGGACTGACTGGCTGGGCAGCAGCTCTGCAGAAAAGGACCTGGGGGTTACAGTGGATAGTAAGCTAAATATGAGCCAGCAATGTGCCCTTGTTGCCAAGAAGGCTAATGGCATCCTGGGCTGCATTGGTAGGTGTATTGCCAGTAGGTTAAGGGAACTGATTATTCCCCTCTGTTCAGCACTGGTAAGGCCACACCTGGAGTACTGAGTTTAGACCCCCAGTACGGAACGGATGTGGACAAATTGGAGAAAGTCCAGTGGAGGGGAACAAAAATGGTGAGGGGGCTGGGTGACATGACTTATGAGGAAAGACTCAGGGAATGGGGCTCATTTAGTCTAGTGAAGAGAAGACTGAGAGGGGATTTAATAGCAGCTTCAGCTATCTGAAGGGGGGTTCAAAAGAGGAAGGAGCTAGACAGTTCTCAGTGATGGCAGATAACCAGTGATCCTGGTTTTATCCGATTTAAAAAAATCCCCAATTTTCACTTAAAAAAAGTAACCCCAAATCAACATTTTTCCATGATTAAAATGAAACATCATGATATCTATCTATTAATAAGAACAACATATTGCAGGGTAAGAAAATACATTCTTCAATATTTGGTCAGAAAAAAACCAGAGGGAGCAGCACCAGGAAAAGAAAATGTTGAGGGGACTAGGCAGGATTTTCTATGTTTTACAAATGGTTCTGTCTGAGACTGCCCTGAGAAAGTTATTCTCTGCTTAATGAAGGACTAGGCACCAGTAACCTCAGTGTTGTAATATCGGTTTGTTGTTGCTGTTGGGTGTGTCTGACCAAATTATTTTCAGATCTATTCTGTAAAATAACCAAAGTCTCCCTGAAGCTATGGAGGCTTTCTGTGGGAGTTAAAGCATTTGAATGAATTGGATCCTATCTGCTTCCAGTCTCTCTGTTTTCAAAGTGAAGATAATGATCCTGTCATTGTATAACTCAACAGGGTCATTGTAAGGATTAGATTCTTGAGATTTTTAAAGTACTAAATTAGCTGTTCTATGATTTGGGTAGGGACCCCCCTTCTATGTCCGTGCAAAGTTTAGCATAGTAGAGACCTGACCCATTACTAGGGCTCTTAGATGCTACCACAATTAATAAGAACACCAATAATATGCAAGCCAATTCAGGTTAAATATGTATTCCTTCAGATATCATTCTTAAATTCATTCAGTAACAAAATTAAAATGAATTGTTCCCAACAGTGAAAATACTTCTGTTCAATAAAAATAAGAGAAAAAAATAATAGAATAAAATAGTTACAACATCAGAAAACAATATGGAATTCAAATAATTTCCTAAAGCAGATGGATACCTTATTTGCTTTGGATTAAGCTACCTATTTACAGAAACCCTATGAGGAAATGAGTTCCTCAGTGTTATAATATTGCAACATGTAAAAAAAAAATCTGCTTTGCTGACTTGTAAAGGAGTTCCCAAATGAAGTTACATTTTGTTATGTAGCTTTAAGAAAAAAGGGTGAAAAGATATTACACTCAGTTGATTTCTATTAAAGCTTGTTGTACAACATTTTCAAGAGTTGAATATGTTTCTATTCACTCAGGAACTTCTGCCCCACAGTTTTCTGTTAATCTCTTGCAGGAAGAGCTACAAAGATATTAACATTTTTGGCATTTAAAACTGTTGTTTTTAAATTATTTGCGCCAGGGGAAGGCTTTTGTACCCCCATGAAGCTACAATAGAGACAATGTAGTGCTTGCTCTTTGCTAATGGACTATGAAACTACTGCCTGAAATGGATTTAAAACAAAAAAGTCTGCAAGTAGAAACTTCCTTGTAAAATGGACTATTCTCAAATGACATGAATTGTAATAGTCATTTTAGAATTAAAACAGCAGCATTGGTTAGTGTTGATTAATATCCACAACTTAACAATGATCTAAATGATGTGATGTGTAATGGTAAAAAACGGTTGAATTAATCACTCTACATTACTTTTAGGTTCAGTGGATAGGCATTTATTTTGCTACTTGACGGGTGCTCTGGTTTGGTTTGTATCTGTATGTCAAAATACATTAGAAACCAGGATAGGACACAATGAACAAGACTGAATGAACAGAAGAAACACAGGACTGCTCAGATAAATTGCTACAATAGATAAGATACCAAAGCCTATAGTATAGCTAGGATGTCCAACAGAATGTTAGGAACAGGTACCAAGGGGTCATGATCACTCTGACCATTCAATATCACTGTAATGAAAGTCAATCAAAGGGTAATCTTAGATTTGATAATCTATTTTATATTCTGTATAAAAAAAAGATACATGGCAGTGATTCTCAACCATGGTGCCATAGCATCTTGGGATGCCATGAGATGCTTTTAAGGATGTACCACAATATTAGCTCTATTAGGTGAGCAAAACACATGATTATGCCACCTACACCCCAAGGATTTTAAAAAGAAATCCATGATACAAAAGCATGCTGATTTGTTGTGATGTTTCTGAGTTCTTTGCAATAGCTGATTTACTCTATTATGTTTCTATAGTCAAAAAACAAGTTAAAGCCTTGATTATAAGGAGGCATTCCTTGAGTCTAAAAGGGTTGAGAACCACTGTTTTATGGTAATTTGTGTGCCTCAGAGGCACATATCTTATTAAAATATTAGTAGAGGATGACTTTTTAACAGTAAGTAGCAAAGGCACTTCTGAAATAGTCTCATCAATAAGGGAGTCTTTCAAGGAAGTATCAGAACAAAGGCTTATAAAATGGAATAATAAGAACAATTTTGAATTAACTACTGATATAGTAAATAATTCCAACCCTCCCCGCCTTCTTACCTTTGTTTTTGGATCTAGAATTTTTACACCATAAATTGAGATTTGTAACTCAACTTTTGGGGTTTTCTGGCCTTCAGATTTCTTGATATGTCTTGCAAACTATAAAGAGGAGAGCAAAGAAGCAACTGCATTATTTTACAATTCTCTAGTTTAAAAGAGCACTGCTAATTATATATTGGTAGTTTCCTTTCTCAACGTTATTCCCCCTTTCCTTTTAAATGCTCAGTTTAGATTTGTTGCCTCTCCTCTCCAAAATGTACCCTTTCAGTAACAATACCAAAAGCTCAACAATGTGTTGGATATACACACTACAGAAGTTCTAGTAGCAAGCTTTGTTTAAAATGTATTTAAAAACACACTTCTATACATTCTCTTTAAAATGTGGAGCCCCACTGTCCAGAGTACTCTATATAAGGCCCTCTCCCTGACCAATCCAAATCTCTGAATCACCGCTGAATCAGTGCAAAATCTCTGATTCGGATTTGGCGGAATCTAATGGGAACGGTGATTCGACTCACCGAATTGAATAACTATCCTCCAAATCGGCCAAATGCGAATTGATTACTTCCCTATTCACACAGGCCTACTAAGCAAGTTTTAAACCTAGACAAATGACCTGTTTTGTGTGTTTTCCATCCTTTTATGTTCTCTACAATAGCTGCTACATCTGTCCTGCCTTTTTATAACTCCAGATCACAGCATGACAGACAGTAGAGTTTTACAATTTGTTACTGTAGATTGCACATGGACTATGAGATGATTTTTAATTTTGAATGGGGAAAGGGGTAGGACAGGGAGAATTAGTTAAAAGAAATATAAAGAATTACTCCTCATTTTGGTATCAGCACTTTTCCTGATCAAATATATAAAAGCCTTCAGTGACATCTTTACAGATGCATGCAGCACAAAGATTAACTCTCTGTGAAAGTCAATGGGAGTTAGGCTCTGAACTACCATTTGTACTTTTGAAAATTTCATCCCTAAACATACTGCCACTGAAATACAATTAAATTAAATGGGTATAGGACTAGAGGGAATCCAACAAACTATTAGATTGCCACTATGTCACAATTTTAACCACTTTTCATTTTATGTCCCCACCTTTATTTCCCCCAATAAAGCTCATCCGTGTTTATGACTAATAGGATGAGCTTTGCGAAAAGTCAGTGCCAGATGTCCTGAGAGAAGAAAACATACTTCTGGCCTCAGGAGAAGTTGAAATAAAATAAGGATCCTCTTGGTCACTCAGTCAAGGAACAAAGAAGTAAATTACCTTCCAGAAGTTTTGCAAGAAAGCTGGCTATAGGCATCCTGGCAGCAGTGAGCTGAAAGACCACAGGGTATATGCTGTGGTTACAAAGATCTATTTAGATAGATTTCTTTTTAAAGTGGTATTTTGCTTCACATGACTTTTGAAGTTTATGGGATTTTTTTCTATGCAGCCTTCAACACCTTGAGATATTTTATCATGTATTTAGCAATTTTTCATGAAATGACTGTACAAACTCATTTTGCTTTCTTTCCCATCTCTCATAGCCATTCCAGTTCATAGCAATTGTTTCAAAAGTCCTCCCATAGAAGAATTTATTTTCCTTATAACTGGTTTCTTTCCAATCTCTCTCTCTACTTTGGCAACACACTCATTTAAAGGTTGCACACGTTCTACTTCTTTTTTCCTTCTTTTGGCATTGACACTCATATAAGGTGAGCTTAAAATGAAATTGCTTTAATTTGACATTTTCCACTCAATTTGAATTAGAACAAATGAGTACATAAGGAAAAAAAGAAGTAGAAAACTAGGCTATGAAATTTCCTATTAATTCATAGTCTAGAGGAAACAGGTTATTTTGACAGTTTTTTAAAAGTTTTTTAGACAGGGAGTCATCTTCATGTAGATGTTTTTTTCCTAAATGAGTCCAGCAGGGATTGGTTCTTGGCCCTATTTAACATTTTAACAATGACCTGGGTGGAAACTTCTTAGAAATTTACAGGTGAAACAGATAGAATGAATGGCAAATAATGAAGGGTTCAGGTCAGTGAGACAGTATGTTATGGATTGCTTGGTTTACTGAATGCAAGGAAGCAATCTGAGTGCTAATATGGCTAAATGTAAAGTCTAAAGAACAAAAATGCAGCCTACACTTATGGAAAGAGAGACTTCATGCTAGGAAGCAGGGATAAGGAAAAGGGCTTGGGGATTGTGATCTCCCATGGTCATGGCCAAATGGGTAAATAGAAGCTTAGATCATAGAATCATAGGGCTGGAAAGCATCCCTAAGGATCATTGGGTCCAACCTCCTGCATGAGCAGGAAAGACATCTAGGGTCAGATAACCCCAGTCAGGTGACCATTCAGTCTTCTCTTGAAGACCTCTAGGATAGATGATTGCACCACCTCTGGGGGTAACTTGTTCCATAGTCTGGACACCCTAGTTGTAAAGAATTTTTTCCTAATGTTCAGCCTGAACCTATCTTCCAGGAGTTTGTGGCCATTGTTTCTAGTTTTCCCCCAGAGCGCCCTGGTGAACAGTTGTTCACCGAGCTCCTGATGTATGCCTCTGATACAGCAGTAAGCTTCAATCAGGTCCCCTCTCAGCCTTCTTTTCTTTTGGCTGAAGAGTCCAAGATCCCTCAGCCTCTCCTCATATGGTTTGCCATGCAAGTCCCTGAGCATATGGGTGGCCCTTCTCTGGACCCTCTTGAGCTTTAGCATGTCCTTGTTGAAGTGCGGCACCCAGAACTGGACGTAATACTCCAGCTGTGGCTGCACCAATGTTGAGTTAAGCAGGAGAATCACTTCTTTGGATTTACTGGAGATGCATCGATTGATGCATGCCAGAGTTTTATTGGCCCTAGTGGTTACTGTGTCACATTGTCGGCTCATATTTATGCTGGGGTCTATTGTTACCCCCAGATCCCTTTCATTTGTAATGCTGGTCAGGTTAGTGATGCCCAGCCTGTAGGTGTGCTGGGGGTTCTTCCTTCCCAGGTGCAGCACTTTGCATTTTTCTACGTTGAATCTCATCTGGTTCTGTTCCGCTCAACATGCCAGCCTATCTAGGTCTGCATACATCTGCATCCTACCCATGGGTGTGGGGTCGGCACCCAACTCCATATCTTGATGTCATCGGCGAACTTGGCTAATGGGCTTTTCACCCCCTCATCCAAGTCACTGATGAAGATATTGAACAGCACTGGGCCAAGTACCGACCTCTGGGGTATGCTGCTGCCCACATCGCACCAGGATGACACGAATCCATTCATTTGGACACACTGTGTCCTAACCTGCAACCAGTTTTACAGCCATGTGATGGTCCTGCAGTTGAGCCCAATATCTTCCAGTTTTCTGATCAGTACCTCATGGGATACCAGGTCAAACGCTTTCTGGAAGCTGAAGTATATGATGTCCACCGCTTTTCTCTCATCCAGGTGACGAGTCACCTGATCATAGAAAAAAATGAGGTTGGTCAGACAAGACCTGCCCGCGATGAAGCCATGCTGGCTGTCATTCAGTATCAAGCCTTCTGTAAGTTTGTCACATATAGCCTCGTTGATGAATGTTTCTAGGATTTTCCCTGGAATAGAAGTTAAG